ATCCCTATTTGTTACATTGTAAAGTGGGTTCCTTTTATGCAAATTTGAGTTTTGTGCCATTTTCCAGGAATGTATGTACAGCATAAAGCTAGGGAAACCTGTATACTGACTGACCAGCTGATGGTTGGCTATCATTGCATCTTGTGAACAGCAGTCATCAGTGTATTGCAAGAAAACCAGTCTAGAGCAGGGGTAAGCAACCCACAGTATGGGTGCCAGAGTGTGGCATGCAAAGGCATTTTGCTTAGCGCGCACGCCTCAGGGCAGACGGCAGGGAAAGGGCTGGGGCTGCACTGCCACAACAAGGATCAGGCCCCTAGTGGCTCCCCCACTGCTGGCCCATGGCATGCTAACATCTTACAAGTTGAGGTTGTGGGTGTTTTTGGTACTCTGCCCAAAAGCATTACCGACCCCTGGTCTGGAGAATATGTAACGCTTACAAAAAATGTATTTTTCTTAACTTTCATCTGAACCTACATCATAATTTCTATGGCTACAGAAGTCCCTAAACGTTTCATTCCAGACAGAATAAAAAGGATTCAGGGAATGCTTTGATGTACTGTCAGGCCCTGATAGGAAGTCAACCTCCTATCATAAGAATAGCACGAGACTTGTAACCATTGCATTCAATACTTGCAACAGCGCTAGCTGAACGGTACTCTCATTGTTGTATGGACTCGACTCCTGTTCTAACAGCACTTGTGCTTTGGAATCTAGTTTCAATGGGCAGTTCATTTTCTCAGCTGAGCCTCTGGACACCAGCTGCAATTCTCCCAGCCTCCATCACAGAAACATTGTTGGAATACTGGTCTCTTCTATAGCCCTCTATCCCCTGGTTAGGTGGAGATTAAAAGAGCATCATCTGTTGCTGAACATCTGTTTAGGTTAATGCCTTCAACATTCCTGGGGGGTTCTCCAAAGAACAAGGATCTTAAAATAGCAAGTAGGAAATGCTTACACAGGGAAGCAGAGCAAAATTAATAATTTTGACGCCCAGGTAGAATCAAATGGAACATACTTACACTGTAAAATTAATTCATCAGGAGGGATTCAAAGCAAACGCCATTCACAATGAAAGGGGGAAAGCACTGGTTTGTTTTTGCCATCTTGGAGATGACTGATTACCACTTAATGTTATAATAATATTCCTTCAGAGTAAATTATAGGCTAGATTTTCTTTTTCTGAATTTAAAGAAATAAAAGTATTCCTTGGCAGCACTCTGGAAATGAGTTTTGAATAAACTAAAACGGCAGATAAACAAATGCATTTCACTTGGGAAAAAAACTGAAGAAAAAGTAAGAGTCAACCATTGGGTTGAATTATATTCTGTAATAAACTGAATACAAATACTGCCTAAAGAGCTCTGATGTCAAAAGACAAAGTGCAGATAATAAGCAAAGCAAAACCAATGCATGATAATTAAAGGATCTCTGACATAGCAGAAAGCTCTCCTTTCTCAGCTCTGTGGAGAAGGCCTGAGAAAATAAAGCTAGTTTCTAGGTTGCATATTTAGGTCCAGTTTGCTGAATAAATATCAACAGTTGAGAGAAGGGCAAGCCTCCAAATGCCAGTATTCATTTCAGAGGATGAGGAGCCCAGAGAGCTGTCATGTCACCAGGAGTTTTCAGGCGATTATAGCATTACAGTATTTACTTCCAATATATTAATCCAAATGTATGATACAGTTTGCTTGCCAGCTTCCAGGACTGATAATGTAGCACAACAGTTTCAGTCCTGGGTCCACTTTCACTCGTTCAGAAACATCTGAAAAATTGCACTTTTGGAATGAAATACTCTAAATTTGGCCTCCAACCAAATGCCCCTTCACCTTCCTCTCAACTGCTGCTTTTGAGCTGTGGAAGGCCAAAAAACAACCCATTTCTCCTCCATGAAAAAAAAGTCACCACACATTTCTCTTCTCCTCCACATACATAACTCAATAGGTGAACTTTGAAACTTAGCACTGTGCTTTCAGACTAATTTTGAAGTCCAGTCAAGGCTTAGTTCAAACAAACTGAACAATGAGTTACAAGTGATTGAAAAATCACTGTAAAGTATGCACAAAACTGAATTTGCTTTTATGGTCATGCCCCTTTTTCCTGACACTATAATAAACATCCCTCCTACCCCAACTGTCCCAACACTAGTCCCTGTACCCATAAACGTGAACTATCCTCTAGCTTTCAACAGTAGTGTTAACACTGCGTTCATAGTTGCACAACCTCAGCTTTTTTTTTCTCCTTCCTGTTGGCTTAGAAATGGCATTTAAAAGTTTGCTTTTTGGGAATTGGCTTGTAGGTATAGATATATTCATTAGAAGGGTTTAAGATGGGAAGCAGGGGTAGCTTGATTTCTAAGAATCCTGGGTCTCACACACGGAGTTTCTCACGGCCCTGGAAGCACACCCGCTGTTTAACACAACAAGGCCAACGGATGGACACAGCCTAAGAACCGAGCGGGACATGCCATAACACGAGATCGCAGCCTTCAAGGCAGACAGGTTATCCAACACAACAAGGACATACAATCTGGGAACCAAGGGGATATGCACCATACTGCCCGTAACACAAGATAAAAGTGGCACCAGCTAACAAGGCCTCAGAGCAGCGGGGCCTGAGTCCCAGTTTTGGGGGAATAGACTGAATTAGGAGAAGGCCCGGAAGGCTACATGGACACGTGACCACAGACAGACAACCAGCCAGAGATAGCCACAGATGAAGAGTCATCAGGAGGGAAGGAGAATACAAAAGGAGAGACTTAAAAACAACAAAGGGGCCCTCCCCGTCCTGCCCAGGTCCCTTTGTCTCGTCCCTCCCTCCCTCCCATCCCTGTTCCCCAGGTAGGGTCCTGGGAACAGGGACGGGGAAGGAGATATATAGAATTGCTTGATTTGGTAGCTATATAAAATTGCTTGATTGTTTGTATTGCTTCTTTTCTGTTATCATTGTGTATCAATAAATTTGCCTATAATCAAATGGAAAGGTTGTGGTCACTGTGAGGGTGTCCCCCCCCCCCCAAAAACAAGGTCTCCGGGTCCTAAATCCAGAGCCAACACTTCCCTTCCTCCCCACCTGCCCTGGATGTATTCAGTGAGTAGCTTAGTTTAGTCTCTCTGAACATCCAGGCGACCCATAAGTGCTAAATGTATGTAACATCTTGGTTTCTTCTGAACAGTATGAGCATCCAAACCACCCACAAACTTAGACTCCTGTGAGCCTGGGGTACAGGGTTTGAAACAATGCCTGCAGTCAGTGGTTTGTAACTTAAATCTCAACTTGAAGCCTTCAAAAACTCCTCCTCCTGACACTACTAAAAGCTAGGTCTGAAAAAGAATCATATGGACAGGACAAATAAGAGACACTGACCTGTAATGAGCTCTCTGACTTCCATGTCATTTGTTTTTCGCAATAATCTGATCAAGGCTGGGATCCCGTCACAGTTCTTTATAGCCACCTTGTTCTCATTATCCTTCCCATAGGAGATGTTTCTCAGTGCCCCACAAGCTTTGCGATGGACTTCTGGCTTTGGGTGATCTAGCAGGCCCACCAAAATAGGGATCCCTTTGAGATGCCTCACATCCTTCTTGATTTTATCATTCTCGTAGCACAAGTGCTGCAGGTACGCTGCTGCATTGGATTTGACTGGATCAATGGGGTGACTGAGCATTGCAATCACTTCAGGGAGGTCAGGGTCTCGCCACCTGGGGTCTTTGCGGATGCTGTCAATGGAGGGGGAGCGTTTGCCCAGGCGGTCAATGCTAGCCATGCTCCCTCTCTCTGGCTGTGCTAGAGGTGCTGCATAGCCACCGTGAAGGTAGGGGATTCTCTCGTCAACCATCTCTGTCTCAATAGGATCATCGTAGCCCCTGCAAAAAACAACAGTGAAAAAATACAGCAGGCTTAACAGTCACTGCATCTAAGCCAAGATTAATGTCTGGGCAATGATCAAGCATCTTATTATTATATATGTATTAGTGGTAATATATTAACACTTTCCAATAGTCTACTTCTGGTCATATTAAATTAGGCAGCATTAAACTCTCAGCAGTGATGAGAACATAGAACGGTATTGGTTTGGTAAGCAGTAAAATAATGACAGGAATCGCCAGTCATCAAACACATTGCTTTCATTTAGGTCACTTAGCAAAGCAATTATGATAGAACGGGACTGCAATTAGTAGGAAACACTGAGCTTCATTAATGACACTCCTTCTGCAACAGGCTAGAAATCTAATTAACGGCATCCAAGGTCTGGTCAGCAAGTCACTCCATGCTGCAGCTTTAACTCCAACATCATGCTGCATGCACTTTAAAGGCAGGTTCAATATATTTCCAAATCACAGCACAGAGGCCCAAATAGGCCCTCTTGAGCTATTGAGAGAAGATGGAAAAGGCAAGTTTTGAATTGAGCTCAGACAAATAATACACCATCTGCAGAACAGTCCAAGGTTAAAGCACTGGATGGGGAGGATGCCTGGGTTCTGCTCCCAGGTCGGCCACAGATCAACAGAGTGACTTCAAGCAAATCACGTCACTACCCCAGGCTTCTCTTTACCTCCCAGGAAACTCTAGAGCGGTGATTCCCAACCAGGGTGCCAAGGCACCCAGGGTACCACTAGATCCTTTGATGTCTGAGGAGATAAGCAGGCCCTGACTGGTCATTCCCCTGCCCCCACTGTCCAGTCCCTCTGCAAGGAGACAACCACCATAATAAATAAGTTAATTTTTTTAATGGAGTGTTTCTCAATCCACAAAAGTTATAGAGGGTGCCTTGATTTCAATGAGGATGCCTTGAGTCCAAAAAGGTTGAAGCCACTAGAAGAAAGTCCCCCTCCAGCAGTCATTTTGTCCATTAAGTTAGGGTTTCCATATCCCCCAACAGTTATTAACCACATAAAATCTATGCAATAAGGTCAACTGCATCTGTTATTAAACAGTAGTATTCCTGCTCACAAAAAGGGCAAAGAGATGTATAACACATTAGTTAAAATATATTCACAGACTTCCTCAAAAAGTGCATTCCACACTACGTAAGCACCCCCGAACATCATGGGTGCTGGTGATGGAGAAGTGCTGACTTTTTAGTGACAGCCACTGCAATTCCAGTCTCCTACTCCTATAAATCATCACTCTACACAACTGCCTGCCAAGATATGAAGCTTTGCCTGGACACTTGTACGAAAGACAGTTTCAAATTCAGGATTTGCTACTGACAGAGAAGGATACAGCTGCTAGTTTGGCTCAAAATGACTTGCTCTGAGGTGAGACTTGACATCTAACAGCCTACAGACTCCATTTTTAACAGACTTTATGTAGTTTATTACAGCACGAGAGACATGTAGCCAGCAGCGGGACAATATGTAAAACCCACCCACTGCTCAAGCCATAGACAACGGTGGGGAAAGCAGGATATTTCAGACACTCTCCCAGGGATCCACTTTCTTCATCACCATGCACACAAGTAAAACCCACTAGCTCATAGGAAGTCTAGGATACAAAGAGTGTGTGTATTTGCATTTTCAGGAGTAGGGCCTCCCCTTTTAAGGATGCATCCAAAAGAGCTACTACCAGCAGTGTGACTAGGAGTTGGCAGCCAGGGCACCCACCCTGGGTGCCAACTTTGAAGGGGTATAAGAATGGTAGTCGCTGCTGCTGCGGCTGCTGCTCCTGCCTAGGGCACAGAAACTGCTCGTTACATCAATGCTGCATAAAATGAATTAAGTTCATTTTCCTCAAAAGGCAGCTATGGCAGCCTGTCTAGGATTTCAACTTGTATTTTAAGCAACCTAGTTGTTTGAAACCTTCCACAGAACTAGGGCATTTACCTTTTCCTTCCCTCCCACCCCCGCCCCTTTCTTCCTCCCTTTAAATTAATGGCCTTTTTAATGTCTGGTAAAATAAAGTAACTTCTTGGAAGTTAATTGTATTACTTTTTTCATTGCTCAGTAAAGCTGACAGATGGAATGAATATCAAGAGGAATTAAGGTTACAATTGAGGAAAGACACACAAAATTCAAGACAACACTGTCGTTCTCACACACTGTGTGAGGTGCAGCTTTAAATTATCTGAAGAGTCATGCAACTGCAAGTGCAGGTTTCCCAAGCCAACCATGGTTTTCCCAACCACGGTTCTGAGTATTCAGGATTAATATTCTGTACGCCATTTTGGCTACCACAGTATAGAGTTTTGAGTAACCGTGGTTTTTCGTGATCGCATATCAGCCCGCCAACCCCCTCCCCCACAACCCCTGCTCCCCCAGCCAGCGGTGGACCCCAGCCCTGCCAGAGGAGTGCACAGTGGCGGGGAGCTGCCCTACCTGCAGTGGCAGGCCTTTCCTTGCTGCCCTGCGTCCCTCCCCCACGACCCGGTGCAGCAGGGAGCAGAGAAGGCGGCAGGGATCTCCTTGCCCACTGCTGCTTGCCCCACATTGCCCTGGTGGCATGGTGTGCTGCACCGGGCTGGCTGGCGCGCCCCACCCCTCCTCTCTCCCTCCCCCAGATAAGAGGCAAACACGCCGGGGGAGATGCTGCCGCTGTGCCCTGGGCCCACTCCATCCCTGCCCACTGGCACCTACCCCCTATAACCTGTACAAGTACCCCTAGGGGTACACCTACGCCCGGTTGACTGCACCGTGTATTTAAGGTAGATAAAAATGATTTTTATACACTATACTGTACAGTATTCAAGTCACTAACCCCATTTTTCCCATAAGCCTTTAGTTTTACCAACCACGGTTTTGCCAACCACAGGAACTTTCCAGAACCTAACTCCCACCGATGGCAAGGGAAACCTATATGTTTGTCTCTTCTTTTTCTCAGAAAGTAACATTGGTAGCTTTTTGCCTACTGCCATTTTTCTGGACAGATTAGCTACTGCTTTGGTATGATGGCTATCTCAGTCAAGCAAGCAATTTTAATTGCAGTAAAAGGGGCCTTACTACTTAGATTTTATATTCCTGATGTTATGCAGAAGGAACTATAGACTGTTAATACTTTGCAATCCTCAGGGACAGCTAATTAAACTGGTACGCTTGGGAGGAAGTGACTGGGGACAAGGTCTAGATGCATAGTGGTACAATTAAAATTTTTATGTTAAAAGCATCTCTTGCAACTTTCAGTAACTTTAATTGCTGATCTAAACTGTAAATGGAATGAAAGGTTATAAATGGGCAGGTATCCAAAACTCAAAAAGAAACTGCAGAAATCCTTTTATTGATGCAGTTATTTATGTATGTATAATTCATTACTTTCCTCAGGGTGCAATTTGCAATGTCTGGACAGCCATTACATTTTCCGTTATATAACAAAGCCATTTTCAGTCTTCATTGTGAGGAGAAAGTAATAACATTAAAATTATTTCATTTAAATATAAGGCAAAAGTTGCAAAGCAAATACCAAAATACAAGTGCAGTGAACAGGATTTTGTTTTGACAAACACTCAAAACTCAGTTTAATCTGCACTAAGGCCTTACAATGGAAACATAATAGTTCCTTGCCTCAAGCTCCCTGCCAATGCTGTGTCCTTACTGTGAGCCTAAGAAAGCAGTAGAGTGATGGAGATGAATTTTAATAATTGCCTTCTACAAACCTCCTGTCACTTGCTTGGCAAGGTAACTTGCAATTCGGCAAGGCTCAGTCATATCTACTGTCTGCAAGGTAAATGTCTATCACTTCAATTAAACCTGCAAAATTAAGTTTTTCTCTCTTCTCCCCAACTATGCAATCCAAGAAGATTATTGTTGTCTAGGAATGAGGTTTCTTTTCATTTTGAAACGAATCTTCACTTCATATTTGATCACACAATGAGTGGTTCCCTGTAGCCCAGAGCCCCCTTGATCAGACCACCTACAAGGATCAGATTTGCAAGATTCGGGCCTTAAATGGCAATGTTGCCGAATCAAAAGAAAGCACTATGCACTAGTCTATCACATGCTAGAAATGTTAAGTTCTGTTATTACTCCAGCAGAACTATTTGCAGGGTTACATTACTCACCACCCTGCAAAAATGAAGGCTTTTGAGTTAGCTGAGGATATACAGCTGCAGCAAACAGCTATGCAAGACCACTACAGTCCTCTAGCTCTTTGGTGGGGCTTTGGTTTCAAAAGGTGCCATTTATCTGATCAGCTACGCAGAAAGGTGATGCGCTCCAGCTGATTGGAGCAGCATCACCCTTTGAACTAAACACCAGAGCAAACAGCTGAATGGCTCATCCTTTATTTGACAGCTCCCTGTATTCAGTGATTGCATGGATGGCAAACTACTGGGTACAAATGTTCCCCATTCTACTGAATGACCTTTTGATATTACTATAAGCTGATGGACAGAGCTAGGATTCAGAGTTACCTCGACACATTGGAGGACCGAACCAAAACAAACCTTATGAGGTTTAATAAGGACAAGTGCAAAGTCCTGCACTTAGGATGGAACAATCCCACGCACTGGTACAGGCTTGGGACCCTGCTTAAGCAGCAGCTCTGCGGAAAAAGACCCGGGGGTTACACAGGATATAAGCTGGATAAGCTGAATATGAGTCAACAGTGTGCCCTTGTTGTGAAGGCTAACAGCATACTGGGCTGCCTTAGTAGGAGCGTTGCTAGTAGGTCAAGGGAAGCCATTCTTCCCTTCTATTTGGCACTAGTGAGGCCACATCTGGAATACTGTGCTCAGTTTTGGGCCTCCCGCTACAGAAGGGATGTGGACAAATTGGAGAGGGTCCAGTGGAGGGCAACAGAAATGGTGAGGGGGCTGGGGGACATGACTTCTGAGCAGGGATCCTAGATTTTTCTGTTGAAAAATAAAAAAAAATTTCTAATAAAAAACAAAATCCTCTGATTAACCCCCCATCTGCATTCTTCCACAATTAAA